ATAAATACTTTTCATCGAGCTTCATGTTTAAACCAATTTCATGCTTTTAATGCTGACTTCAATACACAAATTTAGTCATGGCAGTAATCGACAATAATCTGTTTCGTTTTTTTGTTTTAACATCTGTTAAGAAGAAAAATATTCTTTCCGGAGCTGCATTTGAATTTGGGAGTGCTCTAATAGAATTCAAGAAAGATCTTAAATTGAAGAATTTGGTTTTATTTGGTTTCATTTGGTTTCATTTGGTTTATTTAAATATTGTCTTTGTAAAATCTATTTTCATATATTATCAAAATTTAATTTTAATAAATCTTGTTTCTCTGTTACTGAAAAATTTGAATTTAAGGCAAACCATTCTTTCTTTAAACCATTTTCGTCAAAATCACCCATTTCTTGCAACGATAGAAGAAAGATCATGGAATAATGTTTCCCTATCAGTACTCAATAAAGTTATATGTGATAAAAGAATTTGTAATTTTGATAAAAATATATCACTTACTGGTAATCTTTTGGAAATTTCTTTGGCTGTAGTTATGTAAAATCGCAAACAGTTCTCTCGAACAGTTGCACCATGTTTGCGTGTCCATGTTCTATCAATTGATGAATATATTCTCCGATACTATATAATAAGAAAATATCATTTAAAGATTTATGATTTTCTGCCTTATAAAATGTTATATTTGACAAATGTTTCAAAATTTCTGGTTTTATAAAATTTGTACAAATTTCTTTTAAAAAATCAATTGATTTTGGCTGTAACAAATGTATTCTCATTTCCTCAGCTTGGAAAAATGCATTAAATACATAAAAAAAATATAATGTACATTTTAAAAATACCAAATATGCTTTTGTATCTACATTTTGCATGACACGCAACAAATTTTCTACAGATATACCTTTCTCGCTCACGATCATTTCATTCAAAAAATGTTGTATTGTGTTCCAAGATTGAAGAAGTCTGATACACGCGTGATGAAAAAACCATCGTGTATTACATAACTTTACAATTTTGTGAGTCCTTTCTTCAAAACATTCACTTAATTCAGTGAGAATAGACCATCGCTTGGGACAAGTTATATAGCTTGTAATTTTTTTCAAGAATTCCTCACAAGCTTGAGGTATCTGAGCACGCGGCGTACGAAGCTAATGAAGCAGAATGGTATGGACATGATAATGTCAATACATTATTGCACATCTCTTTCAATTTTTTCTTGAAAGATAAATGTTTTCCGATTATAACGGACATATTGTCGCATGACAAGGCAACTATATTTGAAAACGGTATTTATAGTTTCTACATTTCATATTTAAATGCATTAAACAATTTATCCGCGCTGCAATCTGTTGTCGACATCAATTAATTTTACTAGTTGCGAATGAATAATGTTTCAATATGAACGTATCGAACGTGAAATTTCATCTATTTTTCATTAAAAATATCTGTTGATTCATCTATAAAAATAGAAAATTTTCTATTTTGAATATTTTCTATCACACGATCCGTCTCAACTAGACATAAAACGTTCGTAATTATATTCGTACACTTTTGTCGACTCATAGTCATGCTTTTCAAAACATTAGAATCTTTATCTACGTTTTTAAAAAAATCGAGTATTATTTTTGCATTTTTGTGTGAAATATTTTTTTCAGCGATTAAAGCAGCAAATCGAATCTCCGCGAATTTGCTCCTCAAAGGACGAAAATGATTTGTTAATTTTTATGTTACAGTCTTCATTCGATTTGCTTATTTCATCAAACTTTTCGCAATTATTCTTATGTATTTTAGATTTGGCGTGACGGTTTGCAATAAACCGCCAGCAATAGTTTTTTCACAGACCGTACATAATGCAAATAAATTTGCATCACATTGCATTTCGCGTAGCCATGGCTTAAATTGCTCGAGGTCTAATCATTACTACTTAAATACATTAAATACACACAGATGCAATGATTTTTGTTCAAAAGTTACATTATCATTATCAGATAATGATACATCTTTGTCAATATTTCTTTTATGTTGCGCAGATTCCACATGTCTTATAATATTCGATATTGGACAACACGAAAAATTTTTAGCGCATATGATACAATGAAAAAGACTATCATCAAAAGATACTTTTCGTATCCAAGATTTAAATCGCTCATTAGGGCGAGTCTTAGTATTAATTAATTAATTAATTACTTTAAATAAATAATATACAATCTATAAGGAACATTGCATCTACATAAGACTTTATCTTGTTTCAATATGAATATATTACATTTGTTACAAAGATAAATGTGTAAAAAATATAGTAAAAAATAAAATTAAAAAATATAAAAAATATAAAAAACAAAAAAAATA